GAGCAGCTCAAAGGCATCCCTGGCTGTTCCTTCTGCAAAGCAATTCAAGGGTGACTTTGCTTTGCAAAAGGGTGACTTTGAAATGGAAAACCTGTGATGTCACCAGGACGTCGCAGGGGAGGCGGCACCGACACCGCAGAACTAGGTGGTCCGAGCGGCGGAAAAAGGCTGCTGTCCCTGCCCCTCTTGACGGAACATAAAGATCTGTCTGGTTATAGAACCACCTGATGCGAGTGACACACATTAACACGGGCCCAGGTGCCCAGGCCCCGAATCCAGCCCGACATGGGGAGGAAACGGAGGAGCAGCTCCGAAACCCGCATGCCCTGCGGGTCGTCTCTCTGTGCCGTGGCCTCGGCGTGGGCCCCTCCGAGCACCGCCCGGATTCACAGGACAGCGACGTTTCCATCCCTGGGAACCACGGATCCCCCAAGGACATCACAGAGGATGTGGCTCCCTCCTCCTTCCTCTCCCGTCTGAAAGGAGCTTGTCCCCGTGGTAGCCGCACTGTGAACTCCGAGAGCCAGCAGCACACAGTGGGCCTCCTCCCCCGCCCCCTTCCAGACTGCCTCTGGGTGGGGCCACGTCAGATGCAGAATGTAAAGAAACCCTCCTTTCCACCCACGACCCTGGGGTAAGACGGCCAGGTTCAACCCTCAGCTTTGCCAGTTCTATGTATATATTTATTCATGTCAGAGAGGAGGGGAGAGGGAGAGAGAGAAACATCAGTGATGAGAGAGAATCATGGATCGGCTGCCTCCTGCACGCCCCACCCTGGGGATGGAACCCACAACCCAGGCATGTGCCCTGACCAGGATCGAACCGTGACCTCCTGGTTCATTGGTCGATGATCAACCACTGAGCCATGCTGGCCAGGCGATGCTCTATGATTTTTTAAAAGAAACTGTCACAGAAGTTTAGGACTGAGATCTGACCTCTAAAATCTACTACCCTGGAGACGATGACATCATGGAAAGAGCGCCTGAAAGTTCTCATTAGTTGACATACTTCCCAGGAAGAGGAGACTAGTGAGGAGACCACATCTTTTTCCAGGTCTGAGTTTCCCTGAACTTTCTGTCCCGTGTCAGAGGCAGCTCGGCCTCTCATGGCCAACACCTACCTGCTCCGTCCCTCAGCCCCTCAGGGACGTGCTGTGCCTGTGCCTGGAGCACTGGGGTCACTAAAGGTGCCTCGACATTTAACTAGAGCCGTGCTGGCTTCCTCGGCACAGAGGGACTAGCTCAGAGACGACACCAAACTCACTGGCCCCACCAGGAGGCAGGCCAGCCATACTTCCCAGGAAGAGGAGACTAGTGAGGAGACCACCTCTTTTACCAGGTCTGAGTTTCCCTGAACTTTCTGTCCCGTGTCAGAGGCAGCTCGGCCCTCTCGTGGCCAACACCTACCTGCTCCATCACTCAGCCCCTCAGGGATGTGCTGTGCCTGTGCCTGGGGTCACTAAAGGTGCCTCGACATTTAACTAGAGCCGTGCTGGCTTCCTCGGCACAGAGGGACTAGCTCAGAGACGACACCAAACTCACTGGCCCCAGGAGGAGGCACGCCAGCGCGGGCGCTTTTCTTTCCAGTCCTGTCTGCTCCACGGTAGGCCAGTTTGTCAGGGATGGCGCTGGTTTCCCTGTGACCCCGGCGGCTGGCGGGTCTGCGGCCAGTGACCTTCTCGTACAGCGTGGCCCGTCCTGGTCTGTCTGGACAGCCCTGGGAGTTCTGTCTCTTTTAAAAATTAGCAGCTACTGTGCATCGGTCACTCCCAGTTGCCGGGAGCTGAGAAGGCCTCTGCACGCGTGAAATCTAATCTCCACGACCTTCAGAGCGGTCCCTGTGGAAGGCCCAGGAGGCAGATGGGACATGGCAGGGACTGGCCGATTCCATCAAGTTCAATGGTCACTCATCAAGTTCAGTGGTAAAGACCAGGTTTAACCCAAGAGCAAAGCATCTAGGCATCACCCCCAACCCTTACGGTGGCTCCCACTTTGATCTCAAATTTGGGGGTGGTGGGGGGGCTGTGCGCACAGCCAGCGCGGCCGAGTTTGCCTGCGCGGCTCCAGGTGAGGCTCAGCCTGGAAGTCACTGGGACCATCTGCCCAGCGGCCTTGCTCCCGGAGCCAAGTTCCTCTTGTGCAGCAGCAGCCGTGCGAGAGCTGGGCTGCTCTTCCCGCTGTTTCTCATCACCCTTCCCTCTGGAGAGGCCTTCTCCTGGGATATGGGGACATCGGGACATTGTCTCCAGCTGGTCAGTGGCCACAGGAGAGAGCAGGGGCTGTGGGAGGAGAGCGGGGGCCGCGGGAGCGCGGGAGAGAGCAGGGGCTGTGGGAGGAGAGTGGGGGCCACGGGAGGAGAGCGGGGGGCTGTGGGAGGAGAGTGGGGGCCGCGGGAGGAGAGCGGGGGCTGTGGGAGGAGAGCGGGGGCCGCGGGAGGAGAGCGGGGGCCGCGGGAGGAAAGCGGGGGCCAGAGGAGCTGGCCAGGGTGCAATAGATGTTTAAAAGCTGCATGTGGAGACCCTCCCTTCTGCAAAGTCATCTAGTCTCCAGGCGGTGACTGATGGCTCCTTATCTCAGGAAATGCTCGGGCCAGTGGGCTGTGGCCACCAGTGACGAGGCAGCTTCACACGGGATCACCACAGGTCAAACAGGGCGCGGAGAGGACGTGGGAGCGGGGCGGTGGGGGGGAAGGGGGTCGACTCCAGGAGGCTGGGGACCCAGCAGGAGGCTCAGGGGAACTGTGGCAGCCAAGTCTGGGGGCCTGGCTGACCCGCTTCAAGGAGATCTGGGAGGGAGCAGCCGCCCTGGGCTGAGAGGGGGTTACAGATCCACGGAAGCATGGCTAGACTTTCACACTTTAAATCAGCCACGGGAATGGCTAGACTTTCACACACTGACAGTGCCCAGTGCTGCCGGGGACGGGGAGCCGGACGCGCAGGCCCCACCACTGAGCAGACACTGCTTCAGCCACTTCCCCGGAGACATGCGTGTTCCTCACAAAGCGAACATGCACCTGGCACAGGGCCTTTTGTTTTTTCAATCCTCACCCAAGGATCTTTTTCCTG